CCCACATTTCTGTCTGGCTCTACTTTATCTACTTGACACTTCTTTTAAAGCAACAAAGGTTGCTGGCTAGGAGTTACAGCTGTCTTTATATTCTCTTTTCACACAGAAAAAGCAAAAAAGAAAAGCAATGCCAAAGACACATTAGCCGCCGTTCAGCGCACCGTGACCGCCCAGCGTGACATCGCTGTGATGATCTTGCCTAACGTCAGCGTGAACGGCTGCGCTGGGGTCAACAGCGCTGTGTGTGCCGGAGCCGGGGAAGGGCACCTGGGTGGCGGCTCAGACCGGATCAACCTCACCCCGACAGGACACCTTGTTGTGGCTGTGTGCCTGGGTTTCATCGGCACTTTTGGACTTGTGAATAACCTGCTGGTGCTCGTGCTCTTCTGTCGCTATAAGATTTTGCGGTCACCCATCAACTTGCTCCTGATCAACATTTCCATCAGCGATCTGCTGGTGTGCGTACTGGGGACTCCGTTCAGCTTCGCGGCCAGCACGCAGGGAAGGTGGCTCATAGGAGAGAAGGGATGCGTGTGGTACGGCTTCGCCAACTCCCTCTTTGGTGAGTAGAAATGCTTCATCTGTGAGGTGATGTTCATATGGATGGTTTGTGTTTCAGTTACAATTGTGGGCTACTGTATTTTTTTTTCTATTTCTGATGTAGGCTAGTTGTGAGTGACAGTGCGCCGTATCCTTCCCACAGCTGTTAGATTTGAAAAGGTTTTGAAAAAAAGGACTAAATACATATTTTTGTCTTTTGTATAATGTCTCATGACGTAAATGTGTGATATTGAGCTATAAACTCTAAATAAAATTGGACTTGACGTCAGTTGTGATATGCATGGTGCGTTTTTATAGCCATAGAAAACTTCCATTGAAAAGCCTGAAAATCCGCGTAGCCTGTATGAATTGAATAATGCGAAGCTGATAATTGCTTGTGCACAAAATTTGGAAAACATTAAACCTATTCTTTGACCAACCGATTAGATTTGCACGTCTACCCATACTTGAACAATGTCTTTTCTTTATCTCAAGCTTGGTCTCTTTCCCCTTTTTAATTCTTTGGGTGTGATCATTCTGCAGCCTGCCATAGATCGTTCTTGGTAAAAGTACAGATCATCTGTTACTATTTTGTCCAAAGAATTACAGCATATAAATCAAGGGCGGTGTTGCACATCATAGATAGGTGCACAGCCACAGTCGCTGTGCTGATGTTGCCTGTATAGGTGATGAGTTGAGAACAGTCTTGTGCAGGTCTTCGTGGTGCGGCAGGTTGCTGCTCATTAGCTACTGTATATCTGGGGATTGTTTGGTCACTTCTAGTCACTTCCAAAGCTGCATGTGCATGTATCTTCATGGCATAAAATCGCTCCTGGTGTTCAGACGGGCGAATGTATCGTGTGCATCGCGTTCCCTCCCAGAGGCTTAGTCATTTGCTCAGATGTCATTATGAACTCTGAAAACATGTCACACGGAGATGGTGGATTGGAAGCCACATACTCAGCCTGCTATTAAATGCCCACTAAATGCTTATTACAATGCAATTGAGTATAGTGCCTCGGGCAAGGGAAGCCTCATCACTGTGCCTTCAGCTGCCGGTCTGTAGGGGTCTGTGGGCTGCGGGCACACGGTCTCGGTCTATGAGCAGGCAATGGCAGATGCATAAGCAGCATTTGTTGAGACAAAATCACCCAAGGGACATTTGTAATGAGAACATTGGCGCTGGTCTACCTTTGCTCCGGAGCGCTTATATTGATGCAAATGGGGCACAATGGTGCAACTGAGAATAAGGCATTCATTCACTAACCTGGAACCTGGCCAGGCTGGGAGGCTGAGACCCCCCAAAAGCTTTGTGTTCATTTGTAGACAAATAGGGTGTGCACAATGTTCTAAACAAGGCGTTTTGTATTAAAATTAATACCATTCATTTCTCATGAGCATTGCATCAATCAAAACTTCCAATAAAATTGAGCTAAGACTGATTTATTCATTAAGCATTAAATGAATTCTGTCACCAGGAATCCTCAGGCTGGTGTCTGATGTAAAGTTCTTTAATGAACACACTTTCTCACTATCAGTCACACTAACTGCTTTCAAAGTTTTCCAAACCATTCAAAAAACATTTGAAGAGGCAGTCTGACATACTGGGCTCTCAGACCACCAAGTTCATAATGTTATAACAAATGCACTGCTGCATCTTATAAAACTTCTCATTTGATGTCCAGTCAAAATGCATGTTTCAAATGATGTTTTACACATTATGATCTTAAACCAAGCTCTTAAACCACTTGTAGAACATTTCTGGAAAATGAATCAGACAGGACAAGCGATGCAGTTGGTATAAAAGTCATTCTTTTGAGATTCATAAGCCTTCAGAATTCTTGTTCTTGCACGAGCACCGTACTTGACTGAATGAAAGATCAGATGTGAGAAATGTCATGTACATCATACAGTTCACTGCATTAAAGTAATCCTGTATGTATTTTCACTGACAGTCACTCCCTTTAGTCATTTTTTTTTAATTTCTATCATTTAAATTTATATTTTTTATTATTTTGAGGCTTTAATTCTAGAAGTACAGGTCACATCAATCATTTCATGGTCAGCTATTTTTTTAAAAATGAGTTCTTTAAGCAAATTGGTTATTGGAATAGGACATCAATTGCTTTTCACGGGATTTAAAAAACATACCTTTTAATGAAATCTTTAGAGCTTTTCAAAAAACCGAAGACCCCTGCTGCGTTTACATTGACTGCTGAACATCCGCAGCCACAGCCTCTCTCTGATGAAGTTTATATAAGGGCTCATAAATCTTGCACAGCAGGCTCCTTCTCACTCAATTCAGTGCATCTAATCTGCTAATGTTTAAAATAAAGCAGCTATTGGTAACCACCTGCAATCTATGACACACAAGCCAAACACACAACAAGCCAGTTTGTAGAGATCTGTTGTAACTAAAGATTTCAGGCATTTGTCCTCATCAAGAGTAGGATTATCGCCTGCTTAGTCACCTGCTTGAGAGTCCAGCTGATGCTATAGCAACTAGGAAAAAGTAAAGCAAAAAATAGATGCTGATTGTTTATTTCTTATTTACATGGCTGTGAGTCTGTGACTCATGGCAATGCATATTTACACAGTGACAGCAGAACATGGACGCACTGTTAGATATGCGCTGAGCAACATGGGCACAGACAGGTAAAAGATCCCCACTTCCTCACTAGGGGCAAGACAGACGGAAATTTGTGTTGAAATTGATGTAAGTCTGCTCCAGTTCAAAATGTGACTTGACACCTAATGTAGTAACCACTATTTTATTTCAAATTGGTTGAGCTTAAGTGCAGAGCCTCAAGAACAAAAATTGTATAACTGTCCAAATAGAAACAGTCTGAACCGCACACAGAGACAATACATACAGACTGAAAGAACCAAAAGTTGTTTGTATTCTCTTTGTGGTTGTTTTACATATAGTTGTAGTAGATCCTTATACCTTTGTTATTCTTGCCTTTCTTTCTACCAATTCTGACTCATTGTGCATCTTCTGTGGTCATTCTTATCTTTCTGTGGCACCTTTTCATCTCTTTGTTGTAGATTTGTGATATTTTATAGTATATTTGATGGCTTGTATCTCTGTATTGCTGTCTTGTGACACATTGTGGTTGCCTTGCATCTCTTTGTGATAGTTCTGCATCTTTTGGTGGTAGTTTTTCATCTCCATGGTCATATTACACTATGTCTCTTTGTGGTAGTTTTGAACCCTTGGGTCAATCAGTCAATCAATGTGACTTTATGGGTATTTACCACGGTGGTGGGGCTTATCTCTGGAGTGGGGGGGGATGAGACTACCTACAGGGATGAGGTGGAGAGACTGATAATGTGGTGCAGAGACAACAATCTGCTCCTTAATACCTCAAAGACTAAGGAGGTCATTGTTGACTTCAGGAGGAAGAAAACCGACATCTTGCCACTGTATATCAGCGGGGACCATGTGGAGAGGGTGCTGGCCTTTCGCTTCTGGGAGTGCATATTAAGAGGGACCTGACCTGGGGTGTGAATACCTCTGGACTGCTTAAAAAGGCTCAGCAGAGACTTTACTTCCTATGGGTGCTCAGGAAGAACGACATCTCCCAGAGACTGCTGGTGTCCTTCTATTGGTGCTCCACTGAGAGCATCCTTACATACTGTATATGTGTATGGTACAGCAGCAGCACAGTGGCTCAGAGGAAAGCACTGCAGAGGATCATTAATACAGCCCAGGAGATCATCGGCTGCCCTCTCCTCACTCTGGAAGAACTACACAGTTCCCACTGCCTCAACAAAGCCCATATTTCATTGTATGTGTTACAATGACAATAAAGGAGTATCTTATCTTATCTTATCTTGCACCCTTCATACAGATTAGGTGCAATATAAATTGCTTTTCAGATAAGATATGATGATTAATGATAAGATAAGATAAGGAAATAACTACACATTTATACACATTAAATTCAGTGAGTCTGATTCATGTAGCAGGCAGGTTCATCAGGCATTTCCCTCCCAACCCTTTGTCACCAGATCACCCTGCTTCTTTTCTTAATCTACTGCTAAAAACTTCACATAACATGTTCAACTTAACTGAATTGAAATTTCCTTCACTTAAGAGTCTCTTGAATCTGTCAAACCTTTAAGTTGAAAGTAGACTGCTGTGCACTACAGTACTTCCATTTCCTCTGGGATGAACTGGCATTTTCCAAAACAAGATTATTTTTCATTTTTGTCACAAAGCAGAGAATAAAACAAGTTCTTGGTGTTTCTTAGTATCTGGATGTATAAAAATTGTATCTACTGTCTCGCTAACTTGAATTTTATGCAGAGATTACAGTGAGCATCATTTGAAGATAAGTAATGCTGACATCCACACGAGCCAATTTGGAAACATCTGTCTGAAAGGATTTTGGCTTCTTCAAGCTGGAACACTGCAAGAAGAAAGAGAGAGAGAGATGGCTGGGAGACATCATTAGAACCTCCGTTGGTTATGGATGAGCAATTCTACAATGGGCTCGTAAAAACAGAGTGAAGAAAGAAGTGAGGGATGGTCAGAAAAAGGAAGAGTGAAAGCGATTGTGATGCCGGCAGCAGCTTTGACAGATTGACTGTCTGTCTTCACCAAATCTCTCCAAAGTTCTCTCCAAATGATCAATGTTCCATCACTGTCAGTGACAAAAAGCAACATTATCTTAGCATTAGAGCAATGTTGTTTGTATTTCTGCTCCCTCTACCCTTTGTAGCCTCCTGCTTTTACCCTATCATGCCTATCCAGCCCATCTCTTCCTCTTACCCTCACTGAAATTTGATTGTCTTTTTTTTTCTGGCTTTACTTGACACCGGGTCTACGTTTTCATGCATCGTATTGGCTGCCTCAAGTGGACTCTGCACACTGTCACTGGATTAACCTTGCACTGCTGTGCCCACTCACTGCATAGTGAACTTTGACTGCCCCTCTACATGCACGCACACTCACACATACAACCCTAGAACAGATATGAGCACAGAAATGGATGAACATGTACAGAGAGGAGGAAATACATATACATGTGTATCACGCAGGCACAAGCAACACCTGACCTTAGTGATTTTCATTTGTGAAGAGGAGTCTCTGGAGGGAGAAAGAAAGCAGGAGAATGTGACTCCACCATGAAGGTCACAGAGCCAGCTAATGAGCCAATGTAGCAAATAGTTCATTGAAGCTTTCTTAAAATGAATGTGAATAATCATCTTTGTATACTGAGACGTGCTAGCCAAAGCGCTCATTCTTAATGTTAGCCAGCCATTTGCTCCTAATGAACAGCTTTTCTTTTTGTCTTGTTTTATTAGACTTAGTAGTGTCACAGTACTTCTGTGCACCAATGATGACTGAGATGGAATTTGCAGAACAAACACAGCTTCACAGCTTCTGATCCTGTGATACCAAACTGGATGGCTCCTAACACACAAATAACACAGAGACAGTGAGGGATTAGAGAGCCAGCAGAAGAAAGGTGATCCTTTTTCTTTTTAAAAACTTCAGACATGATCATAACATAAGATGTTTCATTTTCAAATATTAAATTTAGCTGCTGCCTTTGATTCAGATGACTAGACGATAGGAGGAGGGTGCTGTGTGATATCAGATGCTATGAAGTTCCAGAGTTGAGTGTTACACTGACATTACATGGCTTCAAATAGAGATTTCCCTGTCACTCACAAGCTGCTTAACCAAAGGAAGAGCTGTTCTCATACGAAGCAGTAGGCATTCGGCTGGAATAATCATGTAAAGTGATAAATTATGATCAACACTACTGAAGAGTCCAAGGGCAGTGGGTCAGCTGTGTGTTGCTTCACCAACATGATGATGGTCATGTTGCGGATTCATGCCATGGAGGAGGCCTGCTAATTCATTTTGGCATATCTGAGAAAGATTTGGCTGACTTGAAGTTGTATGGGCACTGGAGACATTTATAAATGTTATCAGTCTGTCATATAAAGGATTTAGTACAACACAAGCTCCTGACTTGCAGTGTGAGATACAATACAACAGAATTTCCTACCAAGGACCCACTTTAGAAACCATCTTCTTGTTGTCTGTTATTTTATATATCAGGGCATCTAAGAGAGAAATTTGGTAGATAAGAGTACTGGATAAGTACTTGGAATCAGCAGATGACTGAGGTACCATTCCAACATTCCACACTTATCACAGTCAAACAGAGAAGCCATATTGAAAACATCATACATTTTTAAAACTGATTCTGCAAGCTACATGACAAAATGTCATTTGTCATTGACTTCCAAAACAACACATACATCCATTTTCTCATGCAGTATTCCTATCAGCATTTGTCAGTACCTTCAGAAAATGTTACACATGGTCCTTACTGAAAGGTTTAGTAAAGTTTAGGCACAACATTACATTGTTAAGGTCAGAAACTGATTTCAGTAAAACAAAAAAAGTTTTTGGTTCAGAGTTTTTGTCCCACTTGCTTCTCCAGAGAAGGTTTGCTTACTTGTCACACTACACTGTACAACTGTAGATGTTCAGACTTTCCATTATTCTAAGCATGCTTCCTCTAGGACAAGTTGGATTAAACTAACGTAGACTTCTCCTGACTGTGGGGCACATTTCATCAACAGGTGAAAAGCTGAAGCGCAAGCAAACAGGAGGACCTTGCATTGAATCTTTCTTAACCTTAGCAAGTGACCTTATCAAGATCCACTTGAAATCACAAATTCAAAAGAAGTTTTTCAGAAGACTTTTTCAGCTCTACTGGAGTAAAGGGTTATTTCTACCAGGTTGTATAGTTTAAAGTAGCAAGCATTCCTCTTTACTGTTGACATCCAGCTACAAACACTATCACAAAGGTTTTAGCTTGATGATATCAGCCAGTCGAACTGTTGTAAGAAGAAAATTCTCCTGTTTCATTTCAACCTTCCCAGAGATCAGACAGAAAATAACCGAGGAAAAGTGGCAGGCCAGACGAGATTGAGCAGCAGTGAGCTGAGCTGAAAGCATATTTTGTCAAAATATATGAGAAATACATTTGACCTGTAGAAACTAACCCCATTCAACCCAGATGAAAAGGAAACACAAGTGAGTTGTATCAAAACAGTGTTGGTTTTGTAACAGTGCTAATAAAAGCCTGGAATTACTGTAAGCCTTCTGTGGAGGAAGAGCAACATGAGTGTAATATCTGGTGGTAATAACAGACCGGCATAACACGCTCTCTCAAAGGGAGTGGAGTCAGGGGTGTGTGCAGCATAGTCAGTGTATTTCCACAATGCAAGTACAAGAAAGCCCCAAAACATTCTGCAAAATAATTGTCCTCAATCACAGAGGGAAAAATTGCTTTCAATCTTTTCTACCACCTCCTTTATCTTCCCCTTCTCGTTTTACCTTCATTTATTCAGTGTTGAGTACGTTGAGGCTTTGGCAGCTCAGAAAAAATCTGGACTGCCTTCTCATAGGAACGTCTACTTCATTGTCATTGAAAATCATGAAGGACAACCTCGCGGATCATAATGGCTTCACAACAAATAGCAAACAGGATAATAAAGGCTGTGGGGCCAGCATGAACACAACTACTCTGCCTCTAAAATACTGAAAAAGCCAGATATCAAACTACAGTGTACGTGTTTGCTGAGCACTTACAGACATAAGAAAACTTTTCAAAATCTTCTGTGATGTGTTTTATTGCATTGCTGCTGTCAAGCAGAGACACTACAGGTAATGCTACTGTTTATGATTTATAGCAATGTGTATCTGCTGCAGGCCCTGGCATGTGAAATGAATTATTATATGGTTCAGCCACCACATTCGCTGTAGTTTTATTATGTTGTGCGCTTTGCTCAGGCTGTTTGCTTTTTAAATAATCACCCCCGCTCTTTGAAGCTATAAACCAAAAGCTCATATTAGCTGCAGTTTTGATTTCAGAGAGCTGTGAGGCCAGATCTCACAGTGACTGTGCATGTTTTCCTCACTAGAGTAGATAAACATTTGGACAGGCAGTGGCGTTTGGTCTCTATTTGATGGCCTCATTAAATGTGAGCAACAGTAATCTGAGGATAAAAAGGAAGAAAACAGCTGCACATGCTGTCTCTGGTGTTTGTTTGTGTACTGTATTTAATGCATCCACCTGTGCAGTTGTGTGTATTTCCTTAAGTTTCTGTTGTGCAGCTGTGAGCCTGTACTACTGTATGTATGTCACATGAAAGATGCATTTAAGGGTTACCTATATGTGGCCTGTCTACTCTGCTACAGGCATCGTGTCCCTCATCACCCTTGCTGTCCTCTCATATGAGCGCTACAGCACCATGATGGCCCCCACTGAGGCAGACTCCTCCAACTACCGGAAAATATCCCTGGGCATCAGTGTATCTTGGGTCTACTCCCTCGTCTGGACCCTGCCACCACTCTTGGGCTGGAGCCACTACGGCCCTGAAGGTCCCGGGACCACATGCTCTGTCGACTGGACATCGAAGACAGCGAATAACATCTCTTACATCATCTGCCTGTTTGTCTTCTGCCTTGCTGTGCCATTCTTGGTGATTGTGTTCTGCTATGGGAAGCTGCTGTGCGCCATCAGACAGGTGAGGCAATGTGGGGATGGTAAAGATTTCCACTAAACCTGCAGCATCTCTGCTATTGAGCCTAGGTGCATCTGTAACACTAGATGCCAATTCAAGTAATGGTTTGTGATTAATTTTAGAAGCCCAGTCTACTTTTATAATCATACTGTTGCCCAGTGCTTGTGGTGTTTTAAACCTACTGCTCAGCTGATGATAAGATGAGTCTACACACAACTCCACAATGGTTAACATCTATACAATGATTTGATTATGTCTTCATATTTATCAGGTCTTCAATATAACAAAAACTCACAATGCACAAATGCTGCATATATGTGTGTAGGTGCACAGTTAAACAAGATTTAATAAGAAAACTGTAATGCCCGGTGACCTTCAAACTAAAGTGAAAGGAAAGATGTCCCAAGTCAGTCTACATGCCTGAGATCAGGCCAAGCCAGGCATTTTTTTATTTGCCTGTTGTAATATGCTGTATGGCTGTAAATTAAATAACCAAAGTTCATAAAAAAAAATTCAAAATTATTGTAATGACTCCTGAAATTTAAGTGTCACAAGTCAGTGTCATCTTTTTTTTTAGAACAGATAATTCAGTTTGTCTTAGAAACAATATTTGTAGTCCAAAATGTGTGTCTTGGATTATGAAACCTTTTCATTTGAGTTAAATGAACCTTGTAAGAAAGTAAAAACCATAAAACAACATAAAAAAGCATATAGAACCAGCTGTACACGCAGGCAAATCAAAACGTATGCAGTAAAATGGAATGCAAAAGATCATGTGCAACTAATACACATCTACACTACGTATCACGTAGTAGCATTGTATTGATTATTGAATTCCTCAGATTTAGTTTCAAAATGTACTAAATTTATCCTCTAAACCTGTATAAAGGTATTTTAGTCACTCTGTCATTCAGCTGTTCTCTGGCAGTTAAAACAATGTTCAGGATTCATTTCAAACAACTTAATCCTGTGCAGCAGTGAATTAAAACCTGCAGCTGCTTTATTAACAACCTTTTGCAGAACATTTTGGACCTTACCACATTTTTATGCTCTTCCATTTGAACTGCTGTCTTATAGCAAATCTAATTAGAGTCACTCATAAACTGTGGCTCTGTCACACTGAAATTATTATCAGTGTTGTTGCCATTGCGTCTGGGTCTCTGGGACAGAGAAGCTGGGTTTTGATGGGATACACCGCATCTCATTTGATTTACACATTTATTATAAAAGTAGATGGATGTACTAATTATATTGGCTTCAAACTCAAAAGTATTTTTATCAGAGGTAGTATTTATGAAGCATCACAGAGCAGGAAATCTGTCTGGTGGAGTTTGTTTTCTTGCCATGTGATGCAAAACCTGTGGGGGCTGGAGCCTGGGCCCTGCCACCAATTTGTCTAATTTTATGAAAATGAAGGAGTGTAAGGTTAGAGCAAGTGTTGGCTTTGGCTAAGGTTAGGGTAAGTCTCCTGGAAATTAATGTAAGTATATGTACAGACCCTGTAAGAGATGAATGTGTGTATGCTTGTACATTTGAACATGATTCTGCTCTGTCATCGGTGATAAACTGCTCAGCAGCCTCACATGTGACACTGACAAAGATGAATAACAATCAATCCAGTACCAACACTGTGGGCCCCGTTTCTTTCCTTCAGGTCTTTTGTAAGATTTCCTTTCAGTCTTTATGAGTTTGCATCCATTTACTTCACTTTGTTCTTTTTCTTTTTCCCTTTCCACAGTTTATCTAGTTGCTTTTCAGGGTTGCTCTTCTCCCACTGACGCTGCTAGGCAAAGGCTATAGTTTTACCTTCGGGTCACACTGGGAAACACCACCTGGGGCAGACAGAAGTAACTGAGTCAAGTGTCTACTAAACGCAGTAGAGTTGAACTCCCCTATCTAATAATGTGACAATCTCTGGAGCAGTCCACATGGGGGAAGACTCAGATGCGTTAGGATTTTTTCCAAGTTGGTGTACCTTTGCCTCATCCCATTCTGGGAGACCAGCTACTAGAGAAAGACACAGAAGGTACACTTCATGTCTCTTACATGATTGTTCCTCACTTCTTTTACTTAGGCTACTTTACTAAGACTAACTACTTAGGCTTACTGATTGGTCTAAGAATACAAATATTCATCTTGATTGATCATCATTACTATGATTCTAGAGGGGCCCATTCAGGTGCAGTATCACTATTTACACAAGTTACACAAATTGAACTTTAATTAATAATATTTGTAAAGGTAAAGGTGAGGCAGAAACATCACAGGACACCAGGAAAACACCAGCTTTTCACAGCAAAGGCATATATGAGCTGTGCGCTTACACAAGATTAGGGCCCCTTACAGAGAGATTACACTTCACTTATGTACAGCAGTCTTACATAATTTAGTGTCTGCGGTCACATAGGGTCACATGGGCGACTGTGGTTCAGTGGGTAGAGCAGTCGTCTCCCAACTGGAAGGTCAGAGGTTTGAATCTCAGTCCCTGCAGTCCACGTGTTGAACTGTCCTTGGGCAAGACACTGAACCCCCTCTCTCACCTACAATTACTCTTGACAGCAAACATGCATCAAAATAATAATAGAAAATATTATCACATGGATTATTGCTTCAACAGAGTGACATGCTTACATGGATGAACTAATATATCCAAGACACTTGGAATAATTTGAATGAAAACATAAAATATGCACATACACATATCGTATATACACTCATGAAGGAGTCTTTGGTTCCTTCTCCCAACATCCTTGGTCTAAGTTCAATATGTGGCTCACATGTCCCTGTGGCTGCCCAGTGATAGCCTTATGTGCTATAATTTTCTTCAACATCCCGTTCGCTATGTGGCACAGAGGTGGAGATGGAGAGAGGGAGGGAGATGAAGCTATCAAGAGGTTGTGAAGAAGGAGGGGGTGGGGAAACAGACTGTGACTGCCGGGATACTAGCTTTGTGCTGGCCCACATCAGATGTGACCTTGCAGATGCCATGTGCGTCATGTGGTACTTTCATTGGCCACAAGCAAATTTTCCCTGCCTTTGCTGGTAATTTCACGACCCACTTTCATATTTCACAAAAATGGGCAGCAAGTGCAAATTAGGTCAAACAGTTTGGATCAAGAAATTACACTTGTGCTCCACCTACAGTAGAGGTACTGTATTTCATAGGTGCTACAATACCTATTAAATTCAGTGGGCAATGTGCACTGGTGGCAAGCTGGTGAGGAAACTGGTCCACTGATTCAGGCTACTGTAAATGAACCATGGGTGTGAAAATGCCCTAAGTGTATAAGCATTCATACTAGTTTGTTAGGGCTCCTTTTTGGCAAGGACTGGTATTCGAGGCCCGTGACAGCATGAACTGCTGTATGAACTTGTTGAAAATAGCTGCTGGTAGCTAAATATCTACTGGGAATAGAAAGACTACACAAGCCGTTTTCACTGTTTAGCTGCAAACCCTCATCATAGGTTTTATAAGCAGTGAGAGATTATACCAAACAATCATGTTTCCTACTCAGACTCATGAGTCCGGTACCGACCCTGTGTCTCTGGTCATGTACAGTATTACAAACAATCGTGTCTAAGTGTGCTGTTGCTACAAACTTATCTCTGTTTTGATTATTTCTTTGTTCACATTAGGGTCCCTGATGCTCCTCAGCACAAACACAAGAGCAACTAAAAACTCACCCCACACACACATACACACAAACACGACAAAAACAGAGCTGCAGCAAGAAGCTGTGAAAACACTTCTTGGCAACCCTTGGAATGAAAATTGCAGTACTTCTGCTTGATATGAGCTTGGTTGGGGAGTGTTGAGATGCTGGAGTGTACGGCTGGTGTGCTGCAGAGTAGGCTGTGCATGTAAAACACAAATTAGTTCTCTGGTAGATTGGCTGCAAGATCATGCTTGTGTTCTCTCTGTATGTGGGCTACAGGTGCCTTTTCTTCACTCAGTGTTTTGCTGGATTGTTCATGTTTCACTTGTTTCTTTTGTCTTCTCTGTATTTCCTTCCCCCTCTGAGCACCCATCTCCAGTGCTGTTTCTCTTTTTTGACATGGCTTTGAATTGTTATGCCTATCATCTGTTTGTTCTCCATTCTCACTCACATCTCCATACATTCACACTCTAATTATCCCTGCCAGTGGTTGTGAATCTGTGCAAACACGCCCAATACAATAGCTTGTTTCATTTTCTGCAGGGACTGTGTCAGTCCCTGCTTTCTCACTTGCTCTTTCACTCTTTACTATGCTCTATTTCTCAATTTCCCAGCTTGCCACAGGTCCTTGTCACATATTCCTTCCTTTTCACTGTGCCATTATCATCCATCTTCTTCACCTTGACTGTTTCGGTTGTCATTATCACCTCCATCCCATCATCTCTCCAGGAAGGAACCTGAAATGTGCTACTTTTTGTGAAACAGTGAGGCATCTGATAGCAAGTACCTACTTGTTTTGTGCATACAAACCAAGCAAAACAACAAGAGGTGGGAAGTTTTTGTTTTCAAAGAAGTGCTTACTGTATGCTCAAATACTCTGTGGTCATGTGCTCCCACTTGATATGATATACTGAATAGGGCAGGTTTTGGAGTAAAGAAAAGTGGTTGATTCTTGTTTCATTTTGAAATTAAATAAGTCATATGTGTTAAACTGTCTCCTCTGTTTGGTGGTTCTGTGATCTGCTGTCAAGAAGTCCTAGAATCGCTCAAAGCAATTTGTAATGTTAATTACTATAAGGGTAAGAGCAAAGATAGCAGAATAGAGTCAGGGATTTAAAGGATAAGGCAGGTCATTATTTATATTACTATTTTATAACTGTGGGTGCTGCATATTTTTAGCTTCTTACCAGATTAGTCCGGTATAAATGGGATGGCCAGGCCTTAAGAGTCTACAGCTATGGTACTGTAGGTGTTGTCAGGCTGTACCTAGGTACAGCATTGCTAAGCACCAAACACCAAGTACAGCTGGGGCTGATGGGAATAGTAAGAGTCTTGTAGGCACTTGAT